GAGAAGGCAGGGACCCCCACATACATCATAACATCTCTTAGCAAATCTTCACACACCTAGGGAAAATCAAATAACAACTCTAAAACATGATTAGCACATTCACTGGCGGGAACAAGTTGGGTAGGGGTGATTGGTCAGTACAAAAGGGGTATTCATTTGAACTGATTGGTTTAAGCCAAGAGGCTGTAGGTGCTGAACTACATGGTTTCTCAACACCATAAACTACTGGGAGGGTCATCTGGCATCCCAGGTATTTCCCTGTCTCATGCTGATTGGTGGCTGCTAAGGGGTTACTATGGGTCTCCACCTAGCCTGACTGAGTCAGGGACACCTGGCAGCAGATCTCTCCTGTTATTTGTAGATAAACAACTTAGTAGGGTGGGAATGTGCCTAGGAGTGCTGTGTGGGTCTTTCCAAGGACAAAGGCCATGTCCCTTCTTTGGACAGGCTTTGCTCTGAGGTAGAGGCTGGTTTTTCACCTGGTCCCTTTGCCCTCCATAGGCCCGGGGCTCTGCTGAAGGACCCTGTCCCTGTCCCATGGTCTCAGGCCCCTTGCTTGGGCCCCCTCCTGTGCCTGCCCTCTGTTCCCCTGGTGCTCTGCATAACCCGGCACTGCCTGGAACCACGCCTCCCCCGCTTACCCTTCGCCTGGGCTCCTCCATCGGTTCCGGGCTCTCCCCACACCCCGGCTTGGGACCTAGTGTCTCCCCACACGCTGCCCTCCTTTGGCCCTTGTTGGTTCCTGATCCCTTTCTGAGGAACTACTCCCCTGGGGCAGCGGAGTGGACTGGGCTGGCCTGTGCGCCCTGAAGGCTCCGCCCCCGACCCCTTGCTTCCCTCCCTGGCCTGGCTCCTGGCTTGAGCCTCTGCTGCCACTTGTGGCTCAGGGCGCCCATGGGCTTTCAAAGTGTGGCCCTGGCATGGGTTTCCTCCCTGCTCCCCTTTGTTTGCCTGACCTGTCCTCTCCTGTTGCCGCCGGCTTGCTTGGCCTGGCCCTCCCCTGCTTTGCTCCAGCATGGGTCTTTGTCTAGTTTCCTATCTTGGCTCCTTGCGTGTGTCCGAGTCCTATATCCCACCACTACCCTTCTGCGGCCACTACATGCCACACTGTGCCTTCCCTCATGGCCCTTCTGGTTTCTGTCCCTGCCGGACTCCTTTGCCTGGATCCTCCTCTGGTCAGGGCAGTGGGCTTGGCTTTTCGGCCCCTTAGGGTTTCCTTTCAGACAAATAACTCTTCCCCTTTCCTGGTTCCTTTGCCTTCCCTCAGCCGGGGCCCTGGTCCCCAATTCTGCCCCTAGGCAGTGGACCTGGGTCTTGTGCTTACCTCCCTCTGCTCCCTTCCCTCCTCTCCCTTCTTTCCTTGGCCCTTTCCATTTTCTTGAACTTTGGCCCCAGTCCTTTAAGGGGGTAATCTTCCCCTAATTCATTTAGATGACTTTGCTCATGTTGTGATATTATAACCAGAGAGGAATAAGCATTTTTTCAATTAAAAAGTAGCTGTGAATTGAAGGATTCATTTTACCATGTGGAACTAAGTAAAGAAACCAGAATATATTTATTTCAAGCAAAATAACAAGTTGAAAATGAATGCAAAACATTTGAAGGTCTGGGTAAACCAAGGATCATTTTATGTAATAATGTAATAGGATTGTGTTTCACAAGTAATATCTGTTGTTAGGCACCTTATTCTCACAATCTCCATAAAATTCATTTGAATTTCTTGTACACAGTATGCTACAACTGACAACGCTGGAGTCTGGCCTAACAGATGCTTTTCTAAGTAGTCAAGTTCACTTGAAACTCAGAAGAGGTAAAGAGTCTTAATTTGTAAATTCTATATCTACCACTAGTTATGTTACCATCACAACCCATACAAAGGTTTCTAATTTCTCTGATCATTATCTATAAATGGGATGGTGCACTTTGCCCAGAGGAAGCAACTTGATTACTTCCTGGGAGGGTCTCTCCTATGTTGCCCAGGTCTGTAAGTTCACATGTGATGGTGTCCACAAGTATGTGACCACACACTGAGGAGGCGCTGCCTGGATGGCTCAGGGAGCAATTGGTCCCAAAACTCTTGCAAAGAATCCCTGTGCTAAGCGGCTTTCAAACCTCAAGAGTCTATGGATAAGTAAATTTCAGAAGATGAAAGGTGATAAATGTAAGGTTAGCAATTTTTGTGATTATAAACACAATCAAAAACACGAAAAAGTGGAGAGGAGTGTCAGCTTAGTCAGATGTTGGTTTACTGATGAAATTTACTTTTGGTAAATTAAATTTAATTATAAATAAATTTTTGAAGTTTTTTTAAATCTATCTCCTATATTATGTGATCTTCATGTAGGTCATTTATCAGCAACAGTGATATATTTGTCCTATAAAAGACTAGAAATTCAGCTTAAGCTAGCTTCTATATTTATGTTGTGTCCGGAAATGCAAATGAATATAGACTAAAACAGAATGTGTCGTGAAATGATGTGAACTTTTTTTTCGTGATAAAAAAAATCTATGAAGTTTCAATCAGTTTTCACAATATTAGCTTGTCATACTCTCATAAAACATCCTAGACATCCCAGTATGCTTATCTGGGCAGCTGTTTCATGAGGTATAGGTGAACACAAGCAGAATAGATTGGCTTCATTAATGTTCTTGATGTCATACCATTTACTGTAGTCTTCTTGTTATACAATTGTTGCTGGGAGCCATTAGCCAAGTAGGTATGACAATTTCCTTGCCAGCGTACCCCATGTTGCTGACATGTTGCAGTGACATTGAATGTAAGTGACCTTGCTCAAGGACCAAGGCAGATTAGGGTGTTCCCGGTTTTAAGATAATCTTGTTTAGGGCGTTCCCAGTTTAGGTTCCAGGTTTAAGGTTTAAGATTATTCCTGCTGGGAATAGGGCGTATCCTGCTGCCTGAGTTCCCCTTGAGTTCTCACGGGATTCAGACAGTATATTTTGGAGATAGAAGCCCAGTGGAGGTGGATTTGGGCAGAGAACGTGGATTTCCCCAGAACGTGATTGTAGACGGCTGGTGTGAGTTCGGGAATAAAGAGTTGCTGTTTGAATCTACAAGCTGTGTGGTGGCTCGTGATTGTGTGCCCAGCCAGACTGCGGCATTTGTGCCCAGCCAGACTGCGGCAAATTGTTATGCCAATGGATATACTGCTAGTTAGATTCAAAGCATGACTACCCCTCTAGGACTGTATCAGTGAAGAACAAAATGAAAGAGATAAAGGATTGAGATACAGAACTTTTACAAAACCTCTGATAAAAAACGTTTTCCACTAGAATGTACAAGGCTGCGAAGAGACAGACCAATCTTAAGTACATAATATCGATGGCAGAGGAGCTAATCTGAACTCTTCAAAAGGTAAGATAGAGATCCACAGGTATCCCAAATGAAGATATGTATCAGCATTATGAAAATTTTAACATCTTCTATGAACCACAAATTTTGATATTGTCACGAGCAGCTTCTCAGCCTTGTCTGGTTACCAGGAGTTCCCTTCCGGATATCTGCACTGGACCCCGGACCGCGACGTACGCGAACACCAAGCACGAACTCGATTGCCTTTTGAAATGCTGGTTTATTCGCACACCACACAAAGCAATACACGAGGTGGCTGGCTCACACTGCACGATCTTACTCTCAGGCGATGAGAGTTGATTGTGAGCAAATACATGGAGTTTCCCTCGCGCTTATATACTCTATATGTTTACAACAAACTTGTTTGTGTCTAACTTATCTAACATAAGCACACTACCTAGTTACATCATCAACTTATCTAACATGGGCATACTATCTAGTCATCCTATAACCAAAAACATGTTTACAACTAAAAAGTCACTTAGTCACTGCAAAGTCCAAAACAAGTCCAAAACAAGTCCTTTTGCTGATTCATGTTGTTTGTTCATCCTTGATGTTTACTCCTGTCATTCCACCCCCTTGATACGGAGGCGCCGATGGTACTGATGGTGCCGATGTATCAAAGCGACAAGTACGGTCCCCTGTCTTAGGTCGTCCATTCGGAAGTTGCCCGTCCTCGGGGAAACGTATGGGCTGTCGCGGCCCTGCAAACTAATCTTCAGATTGGAAGATGCAATCCACGGCATCCATGCAGCCACCGACCACACAGGAGTGCAGAAAAGGCTGAAGCATAGCACGAAACTCACAGCAGAAGGGAGCTTTCACTCTTGGAACGAAAAGTTGTTTCAATCGTAAATAAATGTCCAAATCCAAATCCTTTACTAGATCCAAATCTATCACCAAATTGTGAACTATCATAAATGGATAATTAACATCTTTTTCAGAGAACATCGGAATTGGAGTCATCCGGTCCTTCCTGAATAATAGGTCGTTCCTCAGCTTGCGTCCTAATATCCGTTTGATGATTATCTGGTCCACAGACATAGTTCCTCAAGAAATTCTACAATATTAACCAATCTTAGGTAAGTGTTGATGACAATCCACATAAGTCCATAATTTAATAAAGTAAGGCTTACAAATGTTTCTTAAACATATGTCAAATAAAGATCTAGGAACATATGTATTCCTTTGTCTGCATTGCGAATTGATTCTACACAATACAGCATCACCAAATAATAATGATCTATTATAGTTAAGTGAAATAAGTCCATTAACATAAAAAGTACCTGCATTAGAGTGTAAGGTTAATAAATCATGATCAGACTTCATCACTTCAGTGAACAATCCAAATAAAGTCTTAACACACAAATGTATATTATATCTACAATAAACATCACAATGCAAATTATTATCAGAAATACAATTCCAAACATGATTCAAAAACACACACAAAGAGGGCACTTGGCCTTCCAAGGTCCTATCCAGTGGACACCATGGTCCACTGCGTAAGGTTACTAGTCTACATAAAAGAGAAAAACGTTCCTGCCCAAACAGTGTATATGCACTATATAAAAACCATGTATTTACATGAAATTCGATGCAAAGATGACAATTTGCATAGTGCAACTGTTCAGAATAATTCCTCGATCTTTCCGTCCTTCTCCTTCTTGGATTTGATGTTCTTAGTGCCTTTCGTTTCATGGTCCCTGTAATGTTGAAGTTTATCCATTTTAATGTAAGTTTTCTTTCCTGCAGTCTTATTGATCTTTAAACAAACCTTAATACATAATACAAATAATACAAAACAACATACATATAGCAATCCTTCCTTAAGCCAATGGAAAGGGTTCCATCTCATAATGCAACTAACATCTGCATGAACCAATTTTCTAAAGAAACCTACAAAACTACAATCATAAGTATACTGAAAGTCACGCGGAATCAAGTATCCGGAATCAACCAACATTTTAACTTTATGAGTTTCTCCTGAGAATCTTTGGAGAAGTTCAGTAGTTTGATTATGTACTGTCTCAATTTCCTTTCCCAATGAAGCATAAATGGACTTAGCTGCCTCCGTCGCCTTCATCATATGTTTATATTCTTCCGACAGAGGTGGCTGGGGCACAAAAGTATGTAACCCAAAAGTATGATTAGACAAATAAACCACCTGAGTCAGGACTCGTACATTTCTCGTGTTAGTAAAATTCAAACTCCTAAACAGATGTTTCTGAACGGTCAAATTCATATGTTCCATCATCATGACATTAGTATGTATATGGCAACCAGCATTCAGACTCAAAGAATCACTATAAGAAATGTTTTGCCATCGTTGAACCATGTACGGTTCAGGATAACAAGACAACATATTAAAATTCCCAAGATCTAACAAAGTAGCCTGAGGCATAGATATAGTTATATCAGAAGTCCTAGGTTCATCTGAGAAAAGATCATAGGCTATAACAGTTGTTTTACCTATCGCATAAGTGGCTTCACTAGGCACATAATATGACATATTGTTCCATTTCAACCAATAAAACTTATCAAATGGTATTATCCAATCTTTACCAATTTTCTTTGGTATAGCCTTAGTTGGATATCCTATTACAACCTTAGATGTCGACATTTGCCATAAATTAATCATGCAAACACCAGTTTCACACCAAGAGTCCTTTGTAGGATCTAATATGGTTATAGCTGATGCAGTTTCCATGCCTATGCCAGTTCTAAATAACAGTCTTATTTCTTCTAATCCCGCGGTGATCATTGCCTGCAGATGTTCACACTCCTGAGTTGCCTCCAATTGTTTCATGCGTACATTCCACGATGCATCCATAGTCTCGATCACCTTACTTAATGAATCAACATGATGTTTCAAAAGTTCCTGTTCTGCAGAAAGTCTTTCCATAAGCAAGGACGCGGAGTGCAGATTTTTAGATAATTGTGAGATAACAAAGTTCTGTTTATTCTGAAGTCCACGCAGAGCTGAAATTTCCACTCGAAGTTCCTCCGTCATTGCTCCAGCGATTGCTGCCCCCAAAGCTGCTCCGGCCAGGAAAGCGCCAATCGCTGCGAACTGCAAAGGTCTCCGTCCTGCTGCATTTCTTTGAACTGAATAAAACAAATCTGGCAACACAGTAGACTCAAAAGAAGGACATACAGTTTCACCTTTCAACAAATCACTAACAGACAATCGTAACACAATTGGCTGTACTTGTGGTTGTATCAAAAATCTAACTGGCTGATGTAGTAAAGGTAAAAATCCTGGAGCCTCTAAAGTCTTCATAAAATTACCGTCCTTTTCCTTGCGTGGGAAGAGGACCGCTCTTGGGAAATGGGCAGTAACCCATCCCTTGGTTTCATTAAATCCTCCTCTATCAATTAAGCAAGGATTCAAAGAGGTCGGTTCCATGTAGCATTTCTGCATATCCATCTTTGTACTATATATAATATGATTACCTGCATGTGCATCAAACACATCAGTATTATTATGTAAAACATCATGTGTTACAATATCATAAAGATTCCATTCATTTTCACTTCCTGGTAATAACATATACCAGTAATAAGGTAATTTTCCTGGATATATTTTACTAGGCCAAGTAGAGAAATCCATTCCTTGTGTCAACCACCATTTCAGAGTTCTTCTATCTGCTACATCCACATGGTATCTAATTATAGTATCCCAGAGCTGTGCTCTAGGGCACCCAGTCTTCAATGACCAGTAGTCATCAGCATTTACCAGGTAAGTTTCTGTTTTGTAATTCACTAAAGTAACTTCATCCAAATCTGGTGGTACAAATGCAAGAGAATATACTGTTGGATGTAAAGTATAATCCCTCGTTTGTTTTTCCTCATTGCCTAATACAACATTACCACCTTCATAATGTTTGGAAACATTTCCAGTTATATTTACATCAAGAGGAATATCATAGTACGTGGAATCATTATGCATAATAGACCTATGAATACCAATCACATATTGCCATGAATGTGGAAACCATCTGCAAATAGATCTTTCCATAGCTAAACTAACATTTTTAGTGTCCACATAATTAGAATCAACTCCCATCGGGATTGACATATTATGGACATTCACTCTGATTTTGTCATCACTCAAATTAAACACGGGAATCAAAGTCCCAAAGAAATTATCATAAAACTTAAAGGTACAGTCTTCGCATTTATAATAAGGCCACTTTGAAGATTCTCCTTTGGATCCATTATAAGTATAATCTACCTGCAGAAATGTAACATTATAAAAGTGTTTTTCCAAAATATCCTTAGGTGTGACAACCAATACAGGTTGCCAGGACTGATTATCAAACCTATGCCACGTATTATTCACCTCAAGATGCATATGAGAGGCATTCAAATATACAGCATGAAGAGGATTCTGTACACAATTTTGTCTGCTAAAATTATAACACCATGTCCAATTAAATATATTATAATATTGTGTGTAGTTTTTCCACACTGTCTGGTTAACAATGTATTCGTCCACGGTGAATTTATAATCATGTAACCCTGGACTATGCACTCTCTGTCCCAATTTCGGGCCATCCACAATCTCTGAGAGGTCCCATTCATTGTTGGCATTTTTAAAGACATACCTCCTTGTTTTGTTTTCAAATAATAGCCATCCAGAGTGATTAAACATTCCAAATTCAGGATGTAATACCCCAGTCGTCCTGTAAACTGGACCCAGCCTACAGGCCTGTGTGTGAATCTTATAAGTTACAGATGAATAATTACCAATTTTATAATAATATCTATATTGGCACCACTTAAGGAAGGTTGAATCAACAGGGAAGCAAACTCTACCAATAAATGCTTGTCCCTGTGTTCGGTTAAGCATATCTCCAAAAATGCTACGGATACAAACATACCCGATTTTATCCTTTATTTTAGGAGGCGTGGCCACGGGTTTAACCAAGTTATGGGTAAATGGCTGTGGTAAAGGGTCGGTCAACACAACAGGTGATCGCCAAGTGGCGGTACCTAAGGTATTGACTTTCCACCAATTATCTATAGTAAGATAAGATTGGTTCCGTATTTCTAAGGATCTATCAGGATTCTGTAGAATCTCGAACTTTCCATATATAGGTAAATTAGGAAAATCCGCTACACAAGATACATAATGGGTATAATTCAAATGAGTTCTGCTTTGCACATCTTCAATATATATAGACATATTCCTTTGTTTAGTGCTCATGGAATCTAGATACTGCTGTAACTCTTTTGGACACCATGTCCCGTAGGGTTCAACTAAAACTTGCGGCCATCTAGGCAATGGCCTAGCTCCTTGTAAATGTCTAGGCAATCCTTTCCACTCATCCAACATTTTCTTAGAATCATTATATGGCAACAAATTTATCCCCAACGTAGTTGTTCGTGGGGTTGTAGTTGTAAATTCATCAGAACCTTCTTCCTCTCCATCATCATATGAAGAATAGTCATATTCTTCATATTCATAATCGAATAAATTATAATCATTCTGTTTGTTGGACACCCAAACCTGAAAAGGCAGTGATGCAACATCCTTTTCTGCTGCTTCTATACATGTAAAGTCATTCTCTTCTGTAGACTCCTCAAAAGTATATACAGTAAGGTTTGGATTATTAAGCACTGCTGCTGTAGCATTATAGCTCTTAACTAAAGGTTTGCCTCCAAGTTTCCTATAATAATACACAAAATGTGGCTTATAAGACCACATATCCATAATCCCAGGTACCAGGTGACATCGGAGGGGGTTAGTTTCATATTTATTAGAATATCCTCCATCCGCACTAGATCTAAACATTGGGCTATATACCCCAACTGTATTGATGTCCCAAAAATGGTCACACCCCTTAGGTGCGGAGTATTTGTTATAATGGTGGCAAAATGCATAATTATGATAAAACAAGTATCTAATAGCAGTAAAATTTTGTAGGAATTTGTTACTTCTCCAATATTGTGGTATTACTGCACAAGAATTATTACACTCTTGAAGTGAATGAGTGAAATTAATATAATTGAAGATCCAATCTTTGTAAGAATGCTTGGTCAGGTTAATGTTCCTGATACCAAAATAATATGGAGTTGTAGTAGTAAAAGTAGTGGGAGTTGTAGTTTGATTTCCCATTACTGAATAGAACTGCAGGGCTATCAAAAGTAGCAAAAATAGCAAAAGTAACAAAGTCCTAGGTGCCATTACCAGAAACATAGTGTATAATTAAGTACATAACAGGGTAGCAACTCCCGTGCCAACAATTTATGATTCACGTTAATAAAACAAGTAGAACCATTCAAAAGAGCTGTCTGCCATTCGTTACAATAAAAATATCCACCCAAAAACAAGCAAGAATATACAATCAGGATAATAAAGCATATGTTAAACCAAACACACAAACGTTTACCTAGTGACAACATCTTGGCTTTTTACTAATCTGAGGTCCCCTTTTCCAGTTGATACCCATAGGGTATTTCCTTGTCCGTGTGATACAATCTCACCTTTAATCACAGAGTTATCTTTTCTGTTACGTATCCACACCTTATATGGTCTTATATTATCTGGGTTTGGGTCCCCGTCTGCCTGCACATCGATGTCCTTTTGGAATGTTTCCTCAAAGGGTGATCTCCTGTGCAGTCTTTGCCTAGAATTAAGTTCAAAAACTGCAATCAGTATTGCCTTGTCAAATGGCACATCTTGTCCTATCTGCCACAATTTAGTCTTTAATAATCCATTGAACCTTTCAATATTTCCTGCTGCTTGTGGATTATAGGCCAAATGAAAATCCCAATTAATTCCTAAAACGTCAGCTAATTTCTGAACATTTCTACCAGTAAAATGAGAACCCTGATCGGAAGTCACATTCCAAGGACATCCATATGCTGCACACCAGCTCCAAATAGTTTTCATAGTAGAGCTTTGATCTGCATGTCTACTTGCACATGCATGTCCCAATCCGGTACTACAATCTACCATAGTACACACATATTTTCCATTCTGCAAAGGACCAATATAATCAATTTGTACCTTCTCATTAAATCCTCTAGGGGATGGTCTATTGTGGGGTGGATCTCTCCGGAAACGTTGCACCGAGGATGCACATAGTTCACATCCAGATATCGCACGCTTACATGCTCCCCAGGTAACTTTTATATTTCTGCCCTGAAACCACTGGAACATTCCATGTGTTCCAATATGTCCTAATTCCTTATGCAATTGTCGGATCTCATCCTCCGAAATATCAGCATTCAATTCAGGAAGTTTTATATGCCAATTTGGGTCACGTTTCAACCGAATCTTTGTATCTGTTTTATCTAATATTTTCCAAGGGGCCTTATTCACCAATTTTAGCCCTTCGGAATCAAATTTACTCAATTTGTCTGCCACATCATTAAATTTAGATATTTCATCTGTACGTCCTGTGTGAGCATCAACGTGCGCTATCTTTACATGTATAGGTGCCTCCGCAAGAAATTTCCAAATATGTATTCCCCATACATCTTTTCCATTAATTTTATAATCAGATTCCTTCCACTTTGCAGACCATATGGCAATACCATTACAAACTGCCCATGAGTCCGAAAAAACGTGTATATACTTTTTCTTTTCATGGATAGATTGTTCAACGGCCAATTTTACTGCACAGAGTTCTGCTAACTGTGCTGAGGCATCCGAGCCTTCCTTCACTAAGATCTTATTATCACTTGGTCGATATGCCACAGCTTTCCATTTAGTGATATTTCCTACTACTTTACTTGATCCATCTGTGAACCATGCATTTTTATGAGAAGCAACTGCCCCCCATCTTCCAATAGGTTGTGTCTTTGGTTGTTTAACCTCTACCGGTACTTCTACCATAGGCTGAGCAAAAACTAATTCTGATAACCTTAATGTCTTATTATTCCCTGACACTGTTGCATCATTAATTATAGTTAACAAATACCATTTCCATTTCAACACTTTTTGTTCCATGGGTAAACCTCTAAAATCTTCCTCCTTAGTTCGTACCCAATCCAAAATTGGTATCTGAGTTCTTAATGTAACTACTCTATTAGTTAAAACAAAACCTAGACTCTGTACCGCCGTATAAGCTGTCCACACTGTTTTTTCAAAGAAAGAGTACTTGTTTTCGGAAAAAGGAAATCTTTTGGAGTAAAACCCAACTGGTTTAGTCTGACTATTACTTTTAGTATATATGCCCCAATTTCCAAAGTCATTGGCATATATTATATCAATTATAATTTCTTCACCAGGTTGAGGTACATACAATTGGGTATATGTCTGAACATATTCCTTAGCTAATTCTAATGACTTTTTCTGTTCCGGTCCCCATACAAAGTCCGCAGCTTTCCTGCATACCCTGTGTATTGGAGCCAGAATCATTTGCAAATATGGAATATGTAATCTCCAATATCCCAAAATGCCCATCACCTGCTGAGCCTCTGTCTTGGTTTTTGGTGACTGTAAAGCCAAAATCTTATTTATCACTGCATCCGGAACCTTAGGTCCTTCTGTAGTCCACACCACCCCCAGATACTTAACTGACGTGGCTGGACCCTGAATTTTATCAGGATTGATGGACCATCCTTTTGACTTCAATAATGTAACTACCTCGTCCTTTACCTTATTTAACTCGGTCATATCTTTCCCAGCAATTAATATATCATCTACATATGACCATAACTTAGTAGTTCCTTTATCTTGAAAATCCTTTAACGTTTCTTGTAAAGTTACATGTGCTATAATTGGGCTATTTTTATATCCTTGTGGTAACCTCTTAAACCTATATTGTACTGACTCCCAAGTGAATGTAGTCAATTCTCTACTCTTAATATCTAATGGGATAGCGAAAAACATATCACTCAAATCTATAGCACAAAAACAAGTAGGTGAAAAATTTCTAATTTGAGCATAAATGGACTCTACATCTGGGAGAGTACCTGGCATAGAGGGGGTTACTTTATTTATATTCCTATAGTCTACCGTCAATCTCCACTTGCCATTAGGTTTCATAACAGGCCATACTGGACTGTTATATTTAAATGATGATGCCTTTTCTATTATATCTTTTTCCAACATTTCCTTTATTGTGGTGCTAATCTCTTCATGTCCTCCTTTAATAGGATACTGTTTAGTAAATACTGGTGGAGTATGGGGCAATTTTACTGGATCAATCTTTACTTGACTTAAAATTTTTGTTTCAAAACACTTCAATCTCTTCAAAGGTAACCATTCACCATATAATAACCTGAGTTCCTGAATTCCTAATACTCCATGTGGAACTTTGCCTACCAATACTTGTATTGTATAATCCAAATCATATATTTTAAATGTTACCCATTCTTTTCTCATTTCTGCACTATGTCCAGATACTCCTTGTACTATAACTTTTTCCTTAGCTGGTTTATTATTTACAAAATCATCTCTGACTATTGTTACCTCGCTTCCCGTATCTATCAGGAAGGAGTCTGTATATTCTTGATTATCAACTATAAATTTTAATTGTATGAACGGCCGGGTGTCTGGCCGTTTTGCCATCTGGGTGTTCCAAACCTCTGCATTGTTAAACCAAACCTTCTTCTTTGGCCCTGCACCTGACTTCCTCGCGGTACCGGCCTTTGTGGGTTCATTCTCCTTCCTATCTGTCTGTTGTTTACAGCAACATTTCCTTGTGTCCAGGCTTGTCCTGGTCGCACCTTTCTCCAGTCTTTGCCATTTCCCAACATATTTCTGTTTCTTGGGAGGCTCCGCTGGCCAGGCGGGCCTCCCAAACGGAAGTTTTTTGTCTGGTAACATTTAATATTTCCGTTACCATTTGTTGGAAAACAGACTGGGTTTCGGGCTTTAGCTTGAAATGTCATTGCAGCTTGAAATGACATTTTGTGCTCTTGTTGTAATTCTCGATGTTGCTTTAAGAACTCAACTACATCCCATAGGGTGTTGGCTCCAGCTAGCATGGTTGCCAACATCATTCTATGCTGTTCTGGTGCCCCTTTTATAATTATTCTCCTAAGCGCGGCTGTTAAGTGAGCACTTAAAGGGGATCCTTGAAACTGATTATAAATTTTGCTAAAAATAGCTAACTTCTTTACTATCTTAATCCCTTCACTGGGATTCTTCCACTGTACCTGGCCTTCAAAGGCACCCCAATCTATATGTGGGATGGCCTCTGCCCAGGCTATTGCAATCCAATCCCAAAGTGTGCGTACCCTGTCAGGTTCCTCTTGTATAATCTTTGCTAAAGTGTCCGCAACACTCGGATTGTCTATCTGGATATTAACCACCTGCATCTCCTTGCCTGCGAGTCTTATAGACTCGCCTCCCTTACTATGAATTGTAAACAAAAAGTCTCCGTCGGTCTGACCTTTCTGTGAAAAATCTTGCCTTAACTGAACCATTTCAGGTCTAGTTAAGTCCCTAGTTTCAATAACTTGTTCCAACCCATCTGGGCGTCCCCGTCCGGGTGTGGATGTTTTAATTACTGAAACTGGCATGCTGGCCTTATCAGGAGCTTCCAGTTGGTTCAATATATCTTTCAAAAATGGGTTATTACTTCCATTTTTAAGGGCTTCTTTTACTAACCTTTTGCCTCTTAGCCTGTCATCATCTATATCATCTATAATTTTACATAATATTCCCGGGATTTCTTTCTTGTCAGCCCGTTCCATTATGGGCTTGACGGTCTGAGGATTACTTAATGTTACCTCAACTGTGGTTCCTTTCTGGAACTCAGGCATCTTTGCCTGAACAATTCTTTCAATACCTCGCCATGGCGATTGAGATTTTAATTCCTTTTGCTCGAGCTTTAGTTCTCCTATTCTACATTTCTGCCTAAATCTTTTTATTACTTCCTTGAAGCCCATGTTGCTATTTTTAAGAGGATCCTCAGTTTAGCTATATGAATTTTCCAAGCAATAAACCCGTTTGTTTCTATCTTATAAGGTATCTGACTTATTCCCTGATGCCAGCTATATAGTGCCCAATTCTCTATCCTTTCCTTAAGCCACCCCATGCACAGGGACCACCGTCCTCCTAAGGATTTTGGTGGGGGCACTCCCCTTTCATTCCACCTTCAGCCTAGACGCCGGACGATCACGGTCATTCTAGGTTTTCAGTAGAAGAAATTGTGCATTGCCATGTGGGTTATATTTACCTGCTCCGGAGCTCTTCTTCCGTATCCTGCCGACTACGCCAACTGTCACGAGCAGCTTCTCAGCCTTGTCTGGTTACCAGGAGTTCCCTTCCGGATATCTGCACTGGACCCCGGACCGCGACGTACGCGAACACCAAGCACGAACTCGATTGCCTTTTGAAATGCTGGTTTATTCGCACACCACACAAAGCAATACACGAGGTGGCTGGCTCACACTGCACGATCTTACTCTCAGGCGATGAGAGTTGATTGTGAGCAAATACATGGAGTTTCCCTCGCGCTTATATACTCTATATGTTTACAACAAACTTGTTTGTGTCTAACTTATCTAACATAAGCACACTACCTAGTTACATCATCAACTTATCTAACATGGGCATACTATCTAGTCATCCTATAACCAAAAACATGTTTACAACTAAAAAGTCACTTAGTCACTGCAAAGTCCAAAACAAGTCCAAAACAAGTCCTTTTGCTGATTCATGTTGTTTGTTCATCCTTGATGTTTACTCCTGTCAGATATATAATTCTTTATCATAAGATGTAGGATAATAATATGTATACAATAAAATTAAAGAATGGGTCTGATGAAATTTATGTATTTAGTATAATACTTGAATAGTGTTTAAGGAAAATGATTCAAAATTCTGTTTTCAGTACTTGACTGCCCTCCCTTTCCCTTTTAAACCATATGTCTTCATATAAGTACTTCATTATACAAAATTATTTATTAGTGAACTCTCTGAAATCAGGGAAATTAATTGTTAATGATAAGTCTTAAATGCATAATATATAATCAATCCATTTATTATCTCCCAGTCATGTCCAGTTTCACATGAATAATTGCAATTTAATGCCCCTGAAGAACAGCTGCTGCTTTTTGTCTTTCCTCCAAATTTTCTTCCTGTTCCAGTGGTCTATCTGCAGTGCAGCCTATCCAGGTGAAGGGTTTCTTACTATACAACATCAAATGGTGATGGTTACATAGAATGTAAATCTTAACCATTAATGGAAAAGACAACACAGAATATCAAATTCAGAATTTTTCCACATTCAAGATTAACTGTTTCCTGATTTAACCTTTATAAAAATGTAATAATTTATACTGTGTTATAAAATAAGGAGGCATTATTAATGGTTTTCTCTATTAGCTAAGAATCCTAAAAGAAAGGCACATTGACTTGATGCCACAATATTTGCAAAGTATTATAGAACCAAACTTGTTTTTTGTGAAAAAAAAATTAAAAACTGCTAATGCAAAATCAATTCCACCAAGGCAATTTCATTTCCCTGCACACTGCCCTGATTAGATGAAAGCACTTTATTTGAGTGGTAAGGAACTGAACACTGATACTATCACATGAGCTACCCTGAAAGAAGGTGGTGGAATCTGTTTTTTTGATAGTTTCTACATGCTGATAGCTATAGTGACTTCAGCTTCAAAACTGTCATAAGTGTGTCTTCGACCTCACTTATTTTCCTGGGCTTCAGTTCCCCGTACTAATTTCCTGTTTAGACACTGTCATATTATAATCTTAAAATCAACGAATCTGAGAATAATTTTACTATCTTCTATTCAGATCAGATATTATCACAATCTGTTTTTTAAAGGACCCATGCCAGCCACGAAGTTAACAAGAAACTTCATATAGTGGCATTTGAACCACTAAATCATGACTGACTAGAAACCTATTCTTTTTAGGATTTTACATTTGTTAGTAAAACTGTTGCCTGTGTCATTTTAGCTAGTTTAAGGAAATTTTCTATGGTCTTACTCTTATTTTTAATTAGTTCTTGTTTTTTTTTTTTTTAATTAGGTGCCAGAGATTGAACCTAGGGACCCTTAGCCACTGAGCTACATCCCTAGCCCCTTGTTTTATTTGCAAAGTTGCTTAAGGCCTTACTAAGTTACAGGGGCTGGCTTTGAACTTGTGATCCTCCTGCCTTAGCCTCCCTAGCCATTGGGTTGTTTTATTCTTTTTCTCAACCCCTTCCTCATGTAGTCTACACCCCTCTTTCAGTAACACCTCTTGAGTAACTTAAGCCAAAAGGCACATCTGATACTTTGGGCAATAGAGATTGGTTGATGAATAGGCAGGTGACTAAGATGCTAGTAAATATTTTTTAGAGGTTTCTCAGAAAAGCAGCTTCATTATCCTTCAGTGAGGATAGTCTCTTTCTCTTGGAAATTAGGGTGGGGGAAGACATAATCCTTCTACAGTTGCTACTGCTTTATTATAACTGAAAAGTATGTAAATTTAGGCTTAAGCAGAAAGCACAGGAGAAATTAAGAGAAACTAGATTCTGAATGACATTGTTGAACCACTAGATCATGACTAACCAGAAACCTATTCTTTTTAGGATTTTACATTTGTTAGTAAAAATGTTGCCTGTGTCATTTGAGCTAGTTTAAGTCATGTATTTTGTTTCTTGCAACCTAAACATTCCTAAAAAAGTACATCTTTCAGTTTGTGGTTTTCCTTTTATGTGGATCATACCATTTGTTGGTTTATCAGGTGGTTTATTCCAATCTATGTTATAATGGCATATGTTTCTTGCTTCCTATGAGGCCAGAAGTTTGGAACTTTCAAAGCTGTACACCAGGTATGTTTATGGCATCCATTCCCTGCTGCAGGTGACCTTGCTTATCCGTCATTCCTTTATCCAAGCAGATCTCATTTTATTGCACTTTGCTTTATTGCATTTTTGAGATATTTTATTTTATTTTACAGACTGAAGGTTTATAGCAGCCCTGCATCAAGGAGTTGATTAACACCACTTTCTGAACAGCTGGGATGATGATTAGCCTATTTACCAATAAAGAATTTTTAAATTAAGGTACGTGTACTGGTTTTTAGACATAATGCTATTACACACATAAAACACTCATAACTTTTATATGTATTGTGAAACAAAACTTTAATGTGCACTGGGAAATCAAAGAAATGTGTATGTTAATTTATTCCACTATATTCTTCATTGTAGTGGTCTGGAGCAACCCACAATACTCTGAAGTATGCCTATATGTTAAATTAATACTAGTCTGAATTGAGACTGAAAGTTTAAATAAGTCATCCATGGAAAGGTGAAGAAATAAAAGCTTTCCAGGAAAAAGGCATAGCTTGTGAAAAGTCGTAGAATAATGGATCGCACATGCTATTTTCTTTTTTTAAAATTAGTTTTTTTAATGTTTATGTTTTTTATTTATAGGTGGTGCTGAGGATCGAACCCAGGGCCTGACACATGATAGGCAAGTGTTCTACCACTGAGCCACAAGCCCAGCCCCACACATGCCATTTTCAATAAACTTCGGGCTGTTCTCTAAGGTGAGAGAAGAAGACACACTTTGCACAATCAACACTTGAGAACCAATCGGAGTGACCTGTTACCAAATTTGTTATTGTCTTTCTCATGTTTTGTTTAAAACCAATCAACAAAATTAACAAACATAAAACCAACCTTTGTTGTGATCCCAACTTTCTTCTTATTCTTATCTTCATGCTGAGTTGGTGTCCAAATTTTAACATTTATTACCTTCTAATATCCAGCACTTTAAATTGTGTTGATTTCTATTCCCACCAGTACATTTCCTTAAACAGGGAGAATTCTAACTCTTAAGTAGACTGCATTGAATCCTATTCTGTCTTCAGTTCTGACCCATATTCAAAGAATGTAATTAGATTCATTGAGTATTATAAAAAAATATTTTGGAAATTAGGGAGTATATTGTTGATTTTAAGTGGTTGGATCACAATGAAAATCCATTTACAAGGTCTTGAATGTGAAGTGAATTGTTAAGCAGAAGAGGGCTTAAGTGCCTACATATTTTTTAAAATTTATTTTTTAGTTGTAGTTGGACACAATACCTTTATTTTGTTTATATTTTAGGCGGTGCTGAGGATCAAACCTCAAGGCCTCTCATGTGCTAGGCGAGCGCTCTACAGCTGAGTCACAACCCCAGCATCCTACCCCCAAACCCTAAGTGCCTCCTTTTTAAAAAAGAAGGGAATTTAATTCTATCTAGTAAAATAGGAAACTCAAGAAATGGTAAGCTACAGAAATATCCAATTGTGTGCTTTTTGTTGGTTTGTTTCACTCTGGAAAGCTATTTTGCCAAAAGTATATGTTCTGAGAAACACAGGACTCTGTTCCAATAACTAAGCTCTTGTCTTTCAGTGGGAAACCAGGCCCTCTATACTCTAAGCCACCTTGCTTTGCTGGGACAGGGATTCGGCACTCTATTTTTGCCCTCTGCATTATCTTTTTAGGTTCCAATATTGGGAGCACTAGAAGGAAAACGGAAGCGTGTAGGAGACAGTGCAGCCATCCCTCTTTGAGCTTCCTACCTGTCCGCCTGTCCTTCACATGAGCATCATCTGTCCTTGCTTCTTCACTCCAGTCAGCAGCAACTGAAGGCAATTCAGTTTTTTTTTTTTTTTCATTTTCTATGAGTAAGTTTCACAGTATATACTCAGAAACACTGGAATCAGTCAACAACTCCTAGATTTTTTTCCAGAGGGCTCTAGTAAAGCCGTTACACGGCCCTCAGGATCTCTCTTTGGTTTTAAAATTATTACAACTTAATTTCTAATTTTAATAATTATTAAAACTTAATTTTTAACTCTGTGATAGCTCTGAGTTCTGTTTTGCACTGTCAGTCACCTAGCTAATAACTTCTTACTTAGTTAACAATTATTTTGAAATCTCATTGTTCAAATAATTAGTATACAGAATTCAAGTAATGAAGCAGAACCAGAAGGGTCCTATATATCAATATACATGCATATTTATGTATATATGATTTATAGAAAACATATATATTCATATATATATATATACACACACACTTGTACATATGCATTTACATATAGTTGTTCCTTGGTATCTACAGGGGATTGGCTCTAGTCCCCCACCCCCAATGAATACCAAAATTTTTGGATGCACAATTATTTAATATAAAATATTGTAGATATTTCCATATTACCTATATACATCCTCATACATACTCTAAAAAACATCTAAAAACTTCTAGATTACTCATGATACCTAACACAATGTATCTGCTATGTAAGGAGTTGTAACACTATATTTCTGGAGGTATAATGACAAGAGAAATGCCAATATGTGTTTAGTAAACACAAATTTTTTTCTAAATATTTTTTATCTGTGGTTGTTTGAATCCTCAGATGCAGAATACACAGACATGGAGAACCAATTGTGTATATGAATTGGCTTAGATTATTGTGGATGCTGGGTCGTCACTTCTGAAATCAACACAATAGCCCATCTGGAAGGATAGGCTGCAGCTTTTTGCAGCCACACAAGCTACTGTCCCCAGGTGAGATTTCTTCCTTAGGGTACTCAGTTCTGCTCTTAAAGTCTTTCAGTTACTGAATCAGATCTACCCAGTTAATCTAGAATAATCTCCTAAAGTTAAAGTCAATTGATCATGGGTTTTAGTCATACCTACAAAATACCTCCACAGTAAAAGTAGATTGAAGTTTGATGCCATA